GAACTTCCTTGTAAGTCACAAGCAGAAGCAGCAGCCACTTGCAGTAGCCCCTGGAGGTTTTGGCCTTTGGAGGGAGTGAGAAACCTGCACAGGTGAATGATGCCCCTATCTGCCCAAACTTCCCGACTCTTCATGCCCAGTTGCTGAGCCCGCCACGGAGGTGCCCCATCCTGTGTTAAGAAGCACTGGTCTTATCCAGGGACAGAGTTGCCGTCGAGAAATCTCATCCTTTGGGACTGTTCTGCCTCTCGCATCTTATGTTGAAAACTGAAACTCCAGTGTGAACCTTAGCCTTCTCAGCATGTTTCCAACGGCTTAATATATAAATAATGATCAAGGGAACCTGATTTACTGTTTTGGTTACCTTACTATTTTAAAATAAAGAAACATTCTGGAGAAGGCAATAAAGACTACGTTTGAACAATGTCTTGGCAATTGTTAAGGGAGATTTTTAACTAAATTCCAAACTATCGGGTATGTGAGAGCCATCTCATCCACCCAGTAACTGATTTAGTCCCAGTTAAGTTCTGCACAGAGTGTTGTGTGAGTTTTCTTCTGCCAGGATTAGGCAGCTTTCCAAGCTTCCCCTGGATCTTTTACAAATGTGTGGGAAACTTTGAGATTCCCATAAACTGGAACTCTCGTATTGACGTTCTCTGAAGTTCCCTTTGAGCCTAGATGGGGAGGTTACGAGGCAAGTGTTATTGCAGGTTTCTCTGCCATGTGCAGGTTTTCCACTGTGACCAAAAATGGCAGGTGGTTCTCTGGTTCAGCCAACATGCTTCCAGCAAGTTCTCGAGTGGACTCCTGAAGCAGGTCAGGTGAGGATCTGGGCCCGGCGGGGGTGACTGTCCGGAATGAAGTGTAATGTGTGTACCTTTGTACCTGTAACTTCTAGGAGAAAATGACCATTTCTGTGGAAATTGGACCTTGGTCAAATTGGACAATTGGTCAAAGTGAAGTTAGGAGTAGAGAATGTAAAGGAGGCTAGGGGCTCTGTAGCTTGAGGAGTCGTTAGTCATGTGTGTATATTTTTAATGGAAAAAACTAAACAAAACCAACGAGTTGGTCTGTGAGTTCCACCTTGTTCATGTCACCGTTTCTGGATCCCAGTGTAGTGTAGGGGCTCATGGAACCTTTGGGTTACTTGAGAAAGATGTTCTTAGGTCTGTTCTTGTAGGATAGGGGACTTGGAGAGGTTAATGAGTTTTCCCTGGGGGTTGTAGAGCTAAAATGGCAGAACCAGGATTTTGAAGTCTGGGGTTGTTCCTTCGAGGTCATGCTGAATTCCTGCCATAGCATGTACACAAGCTGCTAGGTTAAGTCCTCTCCAGAAGGCACTCATGGGTCACGGGGTGATCAGCTGCGATCCTGGTTTGAGAGGAGGATCAGCCTCAATCTCTCACCTCCACATGAAGCTGTCATGGCTCTGAAAACTTTTCGAAATCAAAACCCTTAGGGGGAAGATATTTATTCGATGTCCTTTATATCTGGCATCTTGGCCAATGCAAACGAGTACCTGCTGATTAGATTCAGAAGGTACAGAAAATTATTCTTTTGTTTCTTTCTCAAAGGGAAGGGGATGAAACATTGAACTTTCAGCAGTAAGCTGGCGCTTTTAAAACTCGGGCCTCTGCCAAGAGGTGACTAAAGGAGTCTTTAAAAGTCTTGGGATTCTTGTGACAGAGTTAGGTGCTTTCCTTCTGAAATACACTGTTGTAACGTTGCCCTTGCCTGGTTCTGTTTTTTTTTTTTTTTTTTTTATGCAAACCTCTAACGCTCCCTGCACCATAAATAAAGAAAAAAACCCACAAACACTGTATCCTAAGAAGTTAGCATCGGGAATTTAAAGCAGGTTTAGGCAAACACTGCCTGTGGGCCATCTCCACCTGCTGCCAGCCCATAAGGCAAGCTTCCAGATAGTTGGGAAAAAATGATAACAAGAATGTTTTGTGATATGTAAGAATGATGTGAAATTCAAAGTTAAGAGTGTATCCATAAAACTGTGGGGGCCAGTGAGCCCATTTGTTAGGGTTTTATCTGTGGCTACTTAGTGCTGTGGAGAGTGACCTTTTCTGGAAAACTTTTCCTGATTTCATCTGAAATGACATACTTTGGAAGGAGGGGTAAGGTGGAAGTAGAGGTGGAGAATATGTGTTTCTCTTGCCTTTTCCCTGCCTTTGGTAAAACTTGAATGTGCAGAATAAATTTACCTTTTAAGAAAGTTTTTCCTTTCTTCTTGATTTGTGTGCTCCTGAATCGAGTCTTGATTGGAGAAGGTGGAAGGGCAGAGTCAGTGGTCTTTGATGAGGAAGGAAGGCTGCATTATGCTGGGCAGAACCCTTTGGCCCATGGCCCCTTCCCTTTCTGATCCGCCTGAGCACCTTTACATTTGATTTTTTTTTTAGTTGTAGATGGACACAAAACCTTTATTTTATTTATTCATTTTTATGTGGTGTGGAGGATCAAACCCAGTGCCTCACATGTTCCAGGCGAGCGCTCTACCACTGAGCCGCAACCCCAGCCCAACTTTACTTCTTTTTGGTACTGGGGATTGAGCCCAGGGATGCTCAGCCACTGAGCCACATCCCCTTTTTATTTTTAAATTTTGAGACAGGGTCTTGCAAAGTTGGTTAGGGCCTCGCTAAGTTGCTGAGGCTGGCTTTGAACTTGAGATCCTCCTGCCTCAGCCTCCCCAGCCTCTGGGATTACACGCATATGCCACTGCGCCTGGCTATCACCTTTACAGTTTTGAATAGTCTGTTTTTTGTCTTGCCTCCCCTCGGAGCACAGTGTGAGAGTGCTCCCCTCACTGACTTTCTTATGTATGCCATGGACAGTACTGGACAGAGTACCAGATGGGACCCAGAGTGCTGCCCGGTGTCTTTTAACCAGTGTTGTGTTTTGTTCCTGGACTGCCTGATGCACAGGGCTGGGGTCCCAGGCCTGTTGCCTAGGATCAGATCGTGTCTTGCCCTTTGACAAGCCTTCTGTGATTGGACTCACCTTATATTGAATCTGAAGCCCAAACCTTAGATGAAAACAGAATTTGAAGGAACTGTGGCCTTTTTCTTGACGACTTGATCCTCTCGATGCCCAGGGGGAGATGGATGTCTCCGTCTTGGCGAGGAGTGCTCTTGGAAGCCAGACGACGGTGATCTCAGCGATGACAGTATCAGCCTTTCCATTGAGACGCCTGAGTTTGGGTATATTGTCCTTCCATTCACCAGACGTTTAGAACTACAGCGGAAGGGCTGCCAGGTGGCCACATGCCCATGTTTGCCCACATGAGGTTTTGAACTGAATGTCCCTGGACGATAGTGAAATATTGACTTGATAAAAATGGTTCTGTGCAAAGTGCTGTCTGCGTTATGAGGTCACCGACTTGGACAGCAGCAGAGGACTGAGCCAGAGATGAGCTTTGCTCTCATCCTCTCCTGAGTCATTTTCCTCTCCACGTTCCTGCAGTGTCTTTACATTTTAAAGACACCTGGATCTTTAATACAACCTTTATGGTTCCTATGTGAGTTAGGAATAATGTCCAGTGTTGGGAATGTCCCATTATGCATTCTTAGTCATGAGTAATTTTCTTAAACTATTTTTTTAGTTGTAGTTGGGCATAATATCTCTATTTTTTATTTATTTATTTTTATGTGGCACTGAGGATCGAACCCAGCACCTTGCACATGCTAGGTAAGCTAGGCGAGTGCTCTACTGCTGAGCCACAATCCCAACCCCTGAGTAATTTTTTTTAAAAAAATCAAATCTTAGATAATCACCTTTTCATTCCTTTCTTCACAAATTCTTTGTGTAGACACTTAGAAATTCTTTGCCATTTTTCCTTATTTAAAGAAGGGGGTTTAGAGTGTGATAATTAACAAGGAAGGCAGCATACCCCAAATATCATCTAGAGGGCCTAGGTGAAAAAATACTTTGAAAGATTTCACCTGCTGCGTGAACCTTTGTAGCCATACAGTTTGTCACAGCCAAGAGGTGGAAATGACCCAACCATTCATACTGGATGAGTGAATAAACAAATTGTGAGTGCAGGTAATGTAATATTTTCAATCATAAACAGGAATGGAAGTCTGATAGGTGCTGCCGCTTAAGTGAACCTCAAAACCATATGCATCTTAAACTCAGACGCAGACGGTCTTGTCTGATCCCATTTATGTGAAGCATTCAGAGGCAAATCCATAGAGGTAGAGAGCAGATCCATGGTTTCTGGGAGTTGGAGGGAGGAAGGAGGGGGAACTCTTGCTAAATGGGTTTAGGGGATTATGTACGGGCAATGAAAATTCTTTGAAACCGTTCAGAAAGTGGTCATTGCATAGCATTATGAGTATCCTTAATGAACTGTTCACTTTAAAATGACTCATTTTATGTTGAGTTGATTTCACTTCCCTTAAAAAAAATCACACATGGACACACCCTGCATCAGAGCCCTGCTGCTGCACCTCCAGGACTGGTCAGCCCTCTGATGCCCTTTGTCTCCATCCCTGGAGGGAGGCAGAGTCCAGCATGCCTTTACACAGGTGTGCAGGAGGGTTGGCCTCGCTCAAGGCCAGGTCCTCAGAAAGCAGCTGTAGGACTGGCTCCTGGGCCTTCAGTGCTTTCTCCCACACAGTGCTGGCTGGCAGGGGCCCTGGAGGCAGATGTGCTGGGTGGCCTGAGGGCAGAGCTCCTTGACAGCACCGCCCTGCAGCTCAGGGCTGGTTCCTCTGTATCTCGCCCTTGGTGCAGTTTCAGCCTGGTTACTGCCCCATGTCTCTGAGCTGGTTTTCTTTTTTTTTTTTAATAACTCTATTTTTCTTTATTTATTTTTTTATGTGGTGCTGAACCCAGTGCCTCACATATGCCATGCAAGCACTCTACCACTGAGTCACAACCCCAGCCCCTGGTTTTCTTTCTTTTGAAATAGAAAAGTAAGAATGATAAGAAGACTTACCTCATAGGATGGTTGGGAATTTTTAATAAGATTGTCCAGTGCCTGGGAGATGTTTCATGATATAGTATTGATATTTATTTATAAATTAATATTCATTTATTAGTATATTATTAATATTTGGCATCTGGCTGCCTCTCCAGCCATTGGTTTGCACGGTTTCTTGGAAAGGCCCATGGAAAGTCCTGTGCCCTCCAAGGCTCTCTCTCAGTGGGTGTAGCGGGGAACCCCCGTGCTGCTACCAATGTGGATGCTTGCTTGACCTCCTCCCCTCTGCGGAAGAGCCCCTGGTGTCCCCAGATGAAGGGACCTCATTGGGCAACAGTGATAAAGCTGGAAGCACTTGGTGGCTTCATCAGTAGCTCCCCTTGTGACATTTTCCAGGTAGGTCTCGCAGTCGGTTCCATGGAATGTGACCATGTTTGTGAAATACTCACTTTAAGAAAAAGAAGGAAAGAAAAGAGAATGAGTGCTTTCCTCTGCTCATCCCCCACAGGTCCAGCTTCAGGATCCCCACCTGGAGGCAGGAGGAACGTGGGGGTACAATCAGGCTCCTTTCCTTTCTGTAGTAACATGAACTGATGTGGCCCATCTCCTGCTCCCAGCAAACAAGAATGAAGTCACAGTGCTTGAAATAGCATGGGGGAATAGCTGAGCGCAGCCCTCTCGTACAGCCCTGGGGATGCTGACGTGGGACTCTGCAGTCATGGCCCTGTGTCCACATCTGGGTCACGTGTGCTTGTGACCAGCTCTGCTGCATGTGCGGCTCTCCTTACAGTGATTTTCTTCGAGATGAATGTCCACCGTGAGAGTGTGTGGTCTCCAGCCCTTTAATTTCAGGTGGCTTTCCTTCTGTTGTCCTCCTGTGCTGTCATTATGTATTTTAGTGCCACTTGAAAGCAGCTCCCCTTCCTGACGCCAGACCAGCACAGAACGCACGGGACCTTCATCCAAGCTGGGGGTGGCCTGGAGGGAAATTCCCACTTGCTTGGCCCAGAGCCAAGTGCACAGATTAACTAAAGAGGACAGAAAGGAAGCAGAGGTCAGCAGAAGTCAGTTTGTGCTCTGTCCTGACCGTAAATTAAAGGCCTCCTACCTCCATATGCCCTTCTTTCTGTCTTTTTTTTTAATGGTGCCGGGGGTTGAACCCAGGGGCATTTAACCACTGAGCCACATCCCCAGGCCTTTAAAAAAAAATATATTTTATTTAGAGACAGGGTCTTTCCAAGTTGCTAAGTGCCTCACTAGATTGCTAAGACTGGCTTTGAACTCTTGATCCTCCTGTCTTGGCCTCCTGAGCAGCTGGAATCACAGGCGTGAGCCGCTGCTCCCGGCCCTTTCTTTGTATTTTTAAGTGGGCCAAAACCATACTGATGTGTTCACACCATCTCTGTGCTCCTTGTCGACTGGATCTGTCTTGATATCTCACATGTGCTGCAAAAAGGGCATCCTTAGTTAATTCGTGCTCCTGGAGATGATCACAAAGCCCATATTCCAGTTGACCTCTCCAAAGAAAAAGCATGACCGTGGCTGCCTCAGTTCCCTGAAAACCACAGGGCAGCCTCCACCCATCCCAGCAACTTGGGAGGCTGAGGCAGGAAGATCATGAATTTAAGCCAGCCTGGGCAACTTAATGAGACTCTGTCTCAAAAAGGGTCGGGGGAGTTGGGGGGGATGAAAGAGCACCCTTGGTTTAATCCCCACACCCTTCCCCCACAGCTTCTTGTTGACTGCTGAGACTCCCGTGAAGGCAGAGGAAAGTCAGAAGTCCCTAGCCGTAGCCTGCAAGCCTGCGTGGGCTGTCCCCTGCCTTGCTCTACTATCTCTGCCACCCACTGTCCCTTGTTTGTTGTATTTGTCTCCACTGGCCAGATGGCTTTCCACCCCAGAATCACCGACTTGCTGTTCTCTGCCAGGAATGCTCTTCCCAGACACCTTTGTGTGGTTCCAGCTCACCTGCCACTTTGGAAGGGCCTTCTCTACCACCAGCAGAAGCCCCAGCCTCCTCCCTCTGCACCCTGCATTCCCTTCCTCGTCTGCTCTGTGCTTTCGTTTTTGTATTTGTTGCCGAGGGTTGAACCCAGGGGCCCTTTACCCCTGAGGTCTGTCCCCAGCCCTTTTTATTTTGAAATGGTATCTTGCTTAGTTGCCTAGAGCCTCACTATGTGGCTGAACCTGCAGTCCTCCTGCCCTTGCTGGGATCACAGGTGTGCCCACTGTGTCCAGCCTCTGCCCTGTTTAGTGGCATTTTGTTTCCTTGACTTCTTGTGTGGTTTCCTTCCTCCTGGTGTGCAGGCTCGTGAGAGTAGGCCTTTGCTTTTATGTACTTGTCTCCAGAGGAACTGGCGCTCAGTAAGTATTGAGTGAATGAATGAATGAATGAACATGAATTTCAGTCAATGAATTAAAAATAGCCTGTGCCTGCAGACACATCCTTTTGCAGAGATTTGGATAGTATTAGCAGATCAGGAGCAAGACACTGGGACCATCTGCCTTTATATTGTGCTGGGAGACTCGAGTGTTACGGTGATCTGTTTCCTCTTACCAGTTCCAAACCCAAAGGGGTGAACCCCAGCTTTGTGGAGTCCAAGGAACCAGAAGATTTTAGCATATGAACTAGGAGACTTGTGGCTTTGCTTCATGCCTCTGAGCATGTGTGGACAAAGATCCTGAACATTAGTGAAAAACAACCCGAACCACGTAGCTCATTGTCTTGGACTCATTTCTGGCACTGCTGTTGTATTCTGTAAACAAAACTACCTTGATCATATACCCTAGTCAGCTCGTTTTTATTTTATATTTTTTGTTTTGGTCTAAGAAATCTGGTCTTTTATCAAAACAAATTGCTTTTCCATTTGGGACGTCCGCGTTAAGAACATACATTTCAGGTTCTAGTGAGCTCTCTTGAACACGTTGGGCTGTGTGGTCATCTCAGTTCCTGCAAACATTAGGAGCCATACCCATTTTATTTGCCCTTGGTTAGCGTCATTTGTCACAATATCTCAGTGTAGTGAGAGGATGACACCTACGCAGTTTCTCAGGGCTGTTCTTTCTACTAATTGTTTGTTTAATTAGAAAATGAGTAAGTATTTATAGAGAAAATAGAACCCAAAGCTGTGGGGATGAAAACTTCTCTAATTGTACCATGCAATCATGATCTCCCAAGGATTGCACTTTTGGTATGTGGGGGGTGCAGGGGGTCTTAGTTTGCTGCTGCTGTTTACAGAGGTCTGTTTTTTGCCCAGCATTTCAAGTAGAACAAAAGGAGATCCAGTGGCAGTGGACTCATTTGGCACCAAGGATGCCACAGCCACATGCAGTCAAAATGTCTGTCTGAACCAAAAGTTTCCAGCATCACCGAGGGCATACTGGTATGTGGGAAAGGGACCACACGCACCAAAGGGTGTTTCTGTCACTTTGCAGGAGCAAAACGAGTCAACTGTGATGGACGAGGTTTGTGGATTTGGCTGGTGTCAGGTGAGATCCTGTCGGAACAGCTAAGAACAGAGGCTCTGCAGGCTCTGGATTCTAGGCACAGGGTTATTTTGAGAATGGCAGCCGGTTTTGACGGGTTGCCAGACACACAGATCTTCCCTTCAGCATTCCTGCTTGAGCCTCTCCGTTTTGTTTTCTGGTCACACTGGGAGGTATTGATTTCTCCCCTCTCATCACCAAGGGTGGCGTGCTGTTGAGAAGCGTCAGGATGCCCGTGAGGTTGACCTTGTAGGTCTCTTTGCCATCCTGAAACAGAATGGCTGCTGGGAAGGCTTTAGCTGGCCCCAGCCTTGGGGACAGGAGACATCGACCCACAGGGGGCATGGAAGGGATAGCAGAGAATGTCAGTGAGCCGCGGTGAAGTCCTGCTCTAGCTTTGAGCTGAAATGTGGAAGCCCTGCTCTGTGTTTGGTATTGAGTGGGTCTGGCAGCATCTCCTGTCCACAGCAGCATTCTCCATGAAGACATTTGTGAATTCAGGGCTGGAATAAAATAATCCTGACAAGCTGGGGCACGTGGAACCTCCTGTGCCTGTGGGAAAATAGAAATGGAGAGAAACACTGCCTTCCTCCAGCCCCCTCAGTGGCTTGGTGGGAACACATGTGGCAGGTTGCCCTGTGGCACCTCTGATGCTGCCCAATCCTGCCGCCATCTTGGTTTTAGAGCCCAGCAGGGGGTAAAAGCCTTGGAGACTTTGAATCTCAGCCTGGAGTTTAGCAGCTGTGTGACCTTGCTAAATATGGAAATTTTGAAGGCTCTCACTTGACTGAAACAATAATAGAGCCTACCTCACAGGGTCACTGTTACTTTTTTATTGTGCTAAAATACACATAACATGAAATTTGCCATTTTAACCATTTGTGAGTGGACAGGTACGTGGAATTAAACACATTCTCACGGTTGTGCAGCTATCACCACCATCCATCTCCAGAAGTTTTTCATCACCTCAGACTGTACTCTGTACCCATTAAATAGCACCCCAAGGCCCCCAAAGAGCTGAGGTTTGAACCCAGGATTTTTGTCTTTTTTTTTTTTTTTGCGTTCTTCTTACCCCACCACAACTCAAGAGGCCTGGTTGTGTCTATTGTGTTTGTGGGTATTACCTACAAAAATGCAATTTCTAAATAAACTAAGGCCTTACCCGAGATCAGTCAGAGGTTAAATTAAGGGTCCCAACTAATGGGGCTCACAACTTTGTTGTGCTAGAAGTCTCACCAATGCTGCTGCCTCTGGTGGTCCCCGGCAGCATCTGACTCTGCTGACCTCCCCTCCTGATGGTCTCCCTTTAGTTTCGGGCCTCATGGGTCCTGGTTTGCCTCCTGCCTCTGACTGTTCCTTCTGGGTCTTCTTTATAGGAGTTTTCATTTTCTTTTTCTTATTGACATTTTTCAATGGTTGTCCTGAGAGAGTGCCAGAAGCCACACATCCCTGGCTCTGGTACCTCTTGTCCCCAGGGAGCCTGTGCCCTTACTCCCAACTCACCAGGTCAGGTGGGATTCTAGGAGAGGAGGAAATGAAGGTGTTACCTTCACCGTCTCTACCCGCTGCCCGAGTTCCTGCCTACTCCTTAAATTTTTTTCTTTCTTTTTATAGAACGTCTGTCTTGAGTTCTTTGAGCTTTTCCTTGATTCTGGAACAGGAGCCGTGGTTTGTGGTCTTTCCACAGCCATCTTCATCTCCCTCCTGGACTCCCTGCCCTTCTCCTGGTCAGCCTCCATAATGACGATGGATTTCTTTCCTGCAGTTCAAATCTATCACCTCATGTCTTATTGGGAAACCCTCCGCGACACCCCTGTTGTCATATGAGAAAGTTCATCCCCTGCCTAGTGACGTTCTAGCTCTCTGTCCCCTGGGCTGGCTCTGCTTTGATGACCCCTTCCTTCTCCATCTGCTTCCCTATCCCCTGGCCAACACTGTCACCGAGGCCCTTCAGCATTTTAGAACTCAGGCCTCTTGAGGACAGAAGGAAAGCTGTGAACTTCCTCCGTGGTAGGTGTGCACTTGCCCAACTCCGCATTCACATTCCAGGGGGTTATGGATCCCATTTAGGAGCTCTACCTGACACCCGTGCTACACCACCCTGTCCCTGCTACATCATCCTGTCCCTGCTACACCATCCTGTCCGTGCTTGACCACCCTGTCTGTACTACACCATCCTGTCCATGCTACACCATCCTGTCCATGCTAGACCATCATGTCCCTGCTACATCATCCTGTCCCTGCTACACCATCCTGTCCGTGCTTGACCACCCTGTCTGTACTACACCATCCTGTCCATGTTACACCAGCCTGTCCATGCTAGACCAGCCTGTCCATGCTAGACCAGCCTGTCCATGCTAGACCAGCCTGTCCATGCTAGACCATCCTGTCCCTGCTACACCGTCCTGTCCATGCTAGACCATTCCCAGGAAGGCCTTACACTTGAGCGTCTTTTCCATTTCCTTATGTCTTTATTCCTTTGTTTTTGTTCCGTTTCCATTAATATTTTTTTTTCAGTATACTTTCCTGACAATTAAACAAATATTCCTAAAAAAAAAAAAAAAACAAAAAAAACAAATATTC